TTGTGGCTCCATCCTGGGGTTCTCTGAATCCAGCTTGTAGGGAGGAAAGAGAGAAACGGGGAACTGAGGAAGAGAAGGCAAAGAGCCTGAGAAGGGGAACACGGAGCTTCGCTTTGGAGTTTCAGGACCTAAAAATGGCAAACACCATTTCCTCCAGCACTCAGGCAACCCCGGTCACACACCCCTCCTCGACACTAGAAGCAAGGAGGTGTTGTCATGTGCAGAGGAAGGAGAGGGACAGTCTGTACCTGCATGTCCACTCGTTTCTGGATATAGCCTATGAGGGGCAGAGAGCAAGTGGTGCCTGCCCCTAAGGTGAACCCACCAGGCTAATGCATGACACAGGTTCAGAAAGGGAGCTGCTCAGGTGACATCATGTTTTTGTTTGATGGAACTAACGTTGGTGTCCCCTGAAATTCATATGTTGAAGCCCTAATTCCCAGTGTGGCTGTATTTGGAGATGGGGCCTCTAAGGAAGTAGGTGAGGCTAAGTAAGGCCACGAGAGTGGGGCCCTGATCCAGTGAGATTAGTGTCCTTGTAAGAGCTGACACCAGAGACAGAGCTCACTCACTCTGAGCCAATCAGGTGACACTGCCACAGACATTCAGTTGAGAACATCGTGTCGTGTCCCTGACCTTCCTCAAATGCATATCCTTCTTGCATGGCAAATGCACTCATACCATCCCAACAGACCCAGAAGTCAGCGCTGAGCTGTGAAGAAGTCTCACCAAAACATCACCTGAATCAGGAGTGGGTGGGACTCGGGGTGCCACTTGCCCATCCTGAAGCTGAGCTCCCCTCCAGCCGTGAACCACGGAACCCAAACAAGTTCTGTGTTCCCAAAATACCACAGTGAGCCAGGCATGGAGCCAGATGCTCCCTTTCCAAGAGCAATAAGAGGCAATAGGGATTGGGTGGTGGGGCCTAAGCAAATCCAAAACCCTAAGGAAGTAGTTAAGGTAAAATGAGGTCACGGAGTTGAGGCAGCTGAGCCAGTGGATTAGCATCCTTATTAAAGATGACCCCACAGGCCAGACACAGTGGCTCGCACCTGTAATCCAGTACTTTGGGAGGCCAAGGCAGGAGGATTGCTTGAGCCCAGGAGTTTGAGACCAGCCTGAGCAACATAGTGAAACCCTGTCTCTACAAAATATTTGAAAATTAGCTAAATGTGATGCCCTGTGCCTGTGGTCCCAACTACTTGGGAGGCTGAGCTAAGAGGATTACTGGGCCCAGGAAATTGAGGCTGCGGTGAGTTGTGATCAAGCCACCGTGCTCTAGCCTAAGGGACAGAGTGAGACCGTATCTTGAAAAAAAAATGATCCCATGGAGTCTGGTCTTGCTCTCTCTCCACTGCACACAAAGGACAGGTCATGGAGCACACAAGATGGTGGCACCCATGTACCAAGAGAAAAGGCCTCAGAAGGAAATAGACCTGGCTGACACCTTGATCTTGGACTTCCAGCTTTCAGAACTCTAAGAAAATTAATTTCTGTTGCTTAAACTGCCTAGTCTATGGTATTCTTTTATGCCAGCCCAAGCAGATGAAGACAGTGTGGTAAGGTGGGGGGAAAATGCTGAGAATAACTGGTGGGAAAAATAATCACCAACTTTTCTCTGAAATTTTTACTTTTTAGACAGTTCATCCCTAAGACTTTCACTTATGCACACATACAGTCATTGATTCGAGAGGTACACCACTGTTGACGACAACTGTGATCACACGCAGTGCTATGGCAGGACCATGACAATCCAAAACACACCAAGCCATGTTCCCAGCCACAGACGCAGCAGCAGCATCTCATTGCAGTCACATCGTAACACATCAACTATTAGGTGATTGTGCAGGAAAAAGCATGAATCAGCCCTACATGAGCGTTGCTGGAGTTCTAAAGGCAGTGGATTTCAGGTGAGGGCAAGGACCTCCAAACAGGTAGAACAGGAAACCTTTCTGGCCTACGAAGGAGTTTTGGAGACTGAGTCAGGGCAGGACATCATGGATTAAGAAACAGGCTCTGCCATTACGAAAAAGAATGAAATCATGTTCTTTGTAGCTACATGAATGTAGCTAGAGGCCATCATCCTAAACAAATGAACAGAAACAGAAAGTCAAAGACCGCATGTTCTCACTTAGGAGTGGGAGCTCTAACACAGGTACTCACAGACATGAATATTGGAGCAGATGCTGGGGAACACTGGCGGGGAGGGAGAGAGACTGGGGAATACTGGCAGGCAGAGGGGGAGGGGGGGCTGAGAAACTAACCACTGGGTACTGTGCTCACTACCTGGGTCACCAGGCCTCAGCATCACTCAAACCTGCACTTGTACCTACTGAATCCAAAACATAAGTTGAAATTAAAAAAAAAAAAAAAAAGAGCTGGGTGCAGTGGCTCACGCCTATAATATCAGCACTTTTGGGAGGCCAAGGCTGGCAGATCACCTGAGGTCAGGAGTTCTAGACCAACCTGCCCAACATGGCAAAAGCCATCTCTACTAAAAACTACAGAAAAAAGATTAGCCGAGTGCAGTGGTGTGCACCTGTAGTCCCAGCTACTCGGAAGACTGAGGCACTAGAGCTACTTGAACCCAGGAGGTGGAGGTTGAAGTGAGCTGAGATTGTATCACTACACTCCAGCCTGGGTGACAGAACTAGACTGTGTCTCAAAAAGAAGGAAAGAAACTGGCTGTGGAGTCTGGAATGTGTGGATCTGGGGAAAGGAACTGCCCTGCCCTTGAGGGCGCCGTGGCCACTGCCTGGAGCTGCCCTGCAGGACTGAACATTCGCACGTGGATGCCGTGGCCTCTGGCTGGCAGCTGCGCCTCCAGGCTCCTCCAGCTGGGGTGGGTGGAATCTCCCAGCCAGCAATGTCTCCACTCTGCCCTGTATGGTCAGGGCCCTTGTCACTCTGGATGAAGACTGAGCATCAGTGTCCACCTGGCATCCGCTGGCCATGCAAACCCTGCCCAGAGAGTCGAAGAGGCCTTCATCTGTGGAAATGTGATTCTGTCCAAATGTGATTCATTCCACCCCCAGCTGTTCCTCAAATGACCCCACGAGGGAGCAGCCAGGGCTCAGGCCACTTCGTTCATAGTGGGAGCCAAGGGCGGGGGTCCAGGCCTGCAGGGTGCAGAGAGCAGGCAGTCAGGCTCCACCACGGGCCCCCTCTATAGGACCACTGCCTTCTCAGGGTGCCGGCCGCCTTCACTCGTGTTCTGTCCCAGCTGCAGCTGCTCCAACCTGCACTCACAGGATGCAAAGTCTGCAGCCATCCTTGAGTTCAGATCCTGCTTTTCCTCAGAGCAATCTGGTCACCGGTTCAGTGCAAGCAAGGGTCAGGGTCAAGATGGCTGGGCTATGTCCCATCTCTGCTGCCCCCTGCCATGTGACTTTGTTACATTCCTTCCATAGCTAAAAAGGAAAATACTGTCACCTTCCTGGGTCTGCAGGGGAGACGGTACCGGTACCGGGCCTGTACTTCCACTTTTACTGCAGAAGAATTAGGAGGGAGAGGTGCTAGCTTGTTTTGTGGCAGGTTTTTCCTTTCTGGCAGGCAGGGCTGTTTTCACACAAACATGTTTTATTGCCTACAAATGGGATTTTGAAGGCTGCCTTTCTTATCTTTATTAATCAGAGAACTGTGCTTAGCAGCAGCAATGCCTGGACAGCATCAGCGTCCACACACTGGAAACGTGGAAGCCTGGCCCAGTGCCTGCACAGCATTAGCACACACCCGGTGGAAACACAGAAACCCAGTCCATCAGTAAAAGAGACTCTTTCCTGCCTCATGGATGAGACGATGTATTGATTTGGCTGCTCAGAGGCTCGGGCAATGCCTGCAGTGACTGGGAGAAATGACGATAAGGATGAAAATTGTAAGAGTAATAGTCACGGCCATCGTGGCTGAGCACTTCCCTACCACGTGTGGGCCACTGTGCTGAGCACTTAAGAGGCTGCATTGTATTTAATCCTTACAAAAACGCCAGGTGGAAAGGAAGATGAATTGCTTGTAAATTAGGAAAATGGGCTTCCCAGGCTCCTGAGTGACAAAACTCAGGGTCCAACCAGGCTTCCCTACACCAAGGCCTGCAGCAGCTACGCCAGCCAAACTGCCCCTGATGAAAAGATTAGGGCCCCAAGTCCAGGAAAAGGCAGTGACACAACCATGGGCCCAGAGGAGCCAGGGGAAGGGCAGCCACAGAACCACACTCTGGCTGCACCCTCATGCTACTGGGGTGTGCTGCCTTCCCAGAGACCAGGAGTCACCTTCTCACTAACCACATTATGTGACAGGGTGTGCAGGGGCACATGTGTATGTGTCTGTGTGCATGTGTATGCACATATACACGTGTGCCTGTGTGTGAGCATGTGCTTCTGTGTGTGTGCATGTGTGTACATATTTGTGTGTGCACGTGTGTCCCTGTGTACCTATGTGTGCATATTCATGTGTGCACGTGTGCCCTAGGTGCATTGTGTGTTGTGCTGTGTGCATATATGCAAATGTGTGTATCTGTGTGCATGTGCAGGAAGGTGAGAAGAGGTTGTGGAGTGAGCCATAGCTGGCCGTTTAGCCAGGAGAGCACCCTGAGACTGCTGGCTGCATAGACACTGGCTCTGAGATACTCAGAAGATGATGGTGGTCTATCATCCCTGTAAAAATCTGCTTCTCCCCAAAAGACTACTCTAGCCACTTCTCTGAGAGGCCAGGAGCGGGGAGTGGACACTGTTTCCATGGGGAGGTCGGCAGAGGTCAGGGTTTCTGCTGAGAGCACCGCTAGGGTTAACCACTCCCAAACCACTCAATATGATTCTGAGCTCTTGGGGCATACCTGGAGACAGGCCATGTGTGGCCACATGGGGACAAGGCTGTGAGGAGGGGTGGAGAGAAGGCCCACGTGTGGCCGCATAGGGATGAGGCTGTGAGGAGGGGGAGGACAGTGCCCATTATCCTCCGCTGCTCCTGCTCAGCCCATCATGGAGGCCTGTGCTTATGTCTTTCAGGAATTTGCAGACTCCATATCCCAGCTGGTCACACAGAAGTTCCGCGAGGTGACGATGGACCTCACACCTGTGCATGCCCGCCACAAAGCACTGGCAGGAATCATCATGACCAAAGGTAGCCTCCTCTCTTTCTGTGGGCATTTTTATCTCTAAAGAAAGGAGCGTTGGCATCTACCTGATCTTGGAGGCCAAACGGCTCTCTCCTCCACACCCAGCTGTGACAAACAGAATACCACACAGAGATTAGTAGCCAGAGTATATTAGCAGGAAGAGCCATCCCGACCATGGTGCGGTGGTTAGGCTGCCAGGGCCCGGCTCTGCACAGGCATCCCCCGTCTCTGGGAGGCCTGGGCAGCCCTTCCAGAGAACCCGAGTCTCCTGAGAGCCCTGAGTCCCCCTCACTGGAGTGTAACCCGCCCCAGAACACCCTCCTTCCTGCCAAGATTCCCCATCCCAAACTCATAGGGAAGGAATTCCACTCTGAGAAACAAGAGTGACCCAAACATGAGGGGGACACTGAGGGCCAAGGAGGCAGCCACCCCAGTCAGCCAGGGTGCGGGAAACCAACGAGGGCTAAATGTGAGCGGTCAGCACTGTGGAAAAGGCGAGCCACCAGCCCATTCATAACAAGCTGGTTGTGTGAATTCAACCATTTCCGTCTCCAAAGTGTTGCACGAGTGTGTAGTGACCTCCTCATTATACTCATCACACTCACACACCTGAGAGCCATTGCTATGAAACAGAAACTGACTTTTGGGTTAAGTTTCACACGCACGCTTGCTCTGCATGTGCCGGCAAAATCTAAGGCAGAAAAGACGTCAACCTGACACACAACATATTGTGTTAAATAATGGTTGGCTCACACCTGTAATCCCAGCACTTTGGGAGGCCTAGGTGGGCGGATCATGAGGTCAGGAGTTCAAGACTAGCCTGACCACACGGTGAAACCCTGTCTCTACTAAAAATACAAAACTTAGCTGGGTGTGGTGACACAGGCCTGTAATCCCAGCTACTCAGAGGCAGAGGCAGGAGAATCCCTTGAGTTATGAGAACCCCTTAGTGTTATGTTTCCATTAAAAAAAGACTCATAGTCGAAGAGACCAGAATAAACATGAGTTTAGTGTGTTGCCTTGAGATATTCTATAGTGTTGGATTTTTCTTTTCTCGGTGAAGCCTTTTGGACAATTAGCTTGAAGATAGAATTGAATGCTCAGTTATGAGTTAATAATCAGAAAATTGCAGAAGTATGTGAACAGCTTTGATTGGACCTTGAGAAAGTGTAGCAAAAATATTTCTCCTTCCCTTTCTCATGCATTTCCAGCTGCACATTTCCTGACTTGGGATAAATGAAGGCATCTGCTGAGGCCAGAGCTGCCAGTCCTCTCCTTAGTTAATTCAGCTTTGAGGGTTTTCACTGGTACCCCATGAATTATTCCAGGCTAACCTATTGAAATGAGCCATGAGTGGGATTCAGGTGGAACGAATGTCTAGTCAGTGACTGATTTTCTTTTCCTCTCCATTTGAGGAGGGATGGTTAGTATAAATGTGTCAGCATTCACACTACACAAGGGTCAGCATCGGTGTAGTGAAATCTGCCCTGCATCTTATAGTTTAAACCTAACAGTTTAAACCGAAGATTTAAAATCAATTGCCCGTCAGTGTTCCTTATTGTACTCAGCCGTTGGCCTCCATGAATCTTAATGTGCCTGAACAGACCCACGGAGACACAGCAGCAGCTTCACATTTCTCCGTATCCACTTAGCAATCATTAAGATCAATTCCTTGAAATCCAGATGATAATTCGCCATCTTTTATCGCAGCATGAGGTTTCTGTTTAGGGTTTTTTGTCCAGTTCATTTGTTTCAGCTTATCTTCCTCATGCCTGACTGATGCAAATGAAAGACCTTGCTTTTAATTTTAAGATCCAAGTGACTGCCAGTTCATTCAGGGGAGGAACACGGAAGGAAAGAGTTTTGAAAAATTGGAGGAATAAACTCTGCTTCTCCTAGGTCCTTGTGAAGATGAACTTATACAAATGCTCTTTGTATGATGGAAAGAGAAGTTTTAACTGTATTTAAACTGTCGTGCTTTCTAAAGTGCAAACGGGAAAATTATGTTTGATTACCAGCTTTATCTAGGACAGCACAATAACACGATTCTTTATTCAAGCCGAAAGCGTGGCGTGGGCAGGTACAGACATAGTTCTTACCTGGTGTGCTCATTTTAAGTTCAAAGGCAAACATATGTAGCAAAACATATTCTGCATTTCAAAACTTGGAAAACTTATGCTCCATCGTGGAATTAATTGGCACTTTCGTATTTTCCCTAATAAGACAGGCCAGATGACTTCACTCAGAAGGGTTTCCTTGCTGTTCCGGGCTGTTTTTACAAAGTTCAACTTTACCAGGCTGTTTTCAAGAAATGTGCATTTTTCCAGGGAAGTTATAAGTCCAAGAAATGTGTGGATTGATTAAAGCTGCACCTTAGTTTAAATGGGAAATAATATTTATAAAAGCCATAATTTCAAAATATGTCTTGTGGGCTAGACAAGCAAAAGTTTAAACATGGAACCCTAAAAATGTACTCTAGAAAACTCCTTGTTTTTAGTTGTTTACTTAATAAACTTAGGAAAGTAATTCCCATAAAGCAGTAATGCATGGTCACCACCAGGCTTGATGCCTTGATGCCTGCTTCCAACGGGAACCTGAAGCCACGAAGGATAAAGGACCAGCAGCTCCACCTTCCTGCCCTCAGGACATCAGGAAAGCCACTTGGTCTCTTGATCTTAGGGTCAGCGTTTCCTAAATCAATAAAAATTCTGGCCTTCTCCGCTTCTTGGATTATGTCAATCAAACTGACGAGTGTATGTAAAAATGCTGTCAAAATGGTAAATCTGCATATCAAATGCAAGGCATCAATATCAACAGCCCTTTAAGAATCACTCTCATGAAACACTAGTGTTTCTAAATAAAGCTTGGCTAATAGGTGCTGTCCGGGGTTCAAGAGGATGGGGAGAACACTTGCTTCTGCTTTTCCAGTGAAATGAGAGGATCTGGAAGGGAACAAAGCTGAACGATGGCGTGATTGAGTGGGACCCACACCGTCCCAGAAGACGCCCTGAGCAGGGGCGAGGCTCCCCAGAAGAAGACCTGAGCCAGGGCATGCTCCCCCGTGAGACAGACTGAGAAGGGCCCACAACGCCCTCCCAGAAGATGGCCTAAGCAGGGGCGAGGCTCCCCCGGAATACGGCCTGAGGGGAGCCCACACTCCCCCCGGAAGATGGCCTGATGGGGCATGGCATGAGGGTGTCCTGGAAAACAGCCTGAGAGGGATCCACGCTCCCTAGGAAGACGGCCTGAGGTGGGTCACACTCCCCTGGAAGACAGCATGGGGAGGGGCGCCAAGGCTAACACTAAATTTGTTGGTGAAAAAATAAGGAACGCTAGCACCCAATGTTTACCTGCGTGCCAGGCACTGTTTGGGGGTGTGTAAAGCCACATTATCCTATTATTCAACAAGCTAAAATATTCTTATGTTTACCCTAACCACACTCTGGTTAAGCACACTTAGAAAGAGAGCAAGAAGAAAAGAGAGAGTTAGGGAAGGAGAAAGAGAGAAAAAGAGAGAAAGAGAGACAGGAAAGGGAGGGAGACAGAAGAAAGAAGCTTCAGGAAATGACTGTGCATTATGTATGAGCCGGAGTTAGTCATAGTCGACAGGGCCCCCACTGTGTGGCTGGAGATGGAGTAAAGATATTCTGAAGGGTTTGGGCTAATTAGCGAGCAAATGTGAAACTAAGTGAAGCTGTAACCCTCTGAAGACCGTGTGGACTTTCAAATGCGTGCACTTGGGGTCATGGTTTACACTCCCTCATTCCCCAGTGGACCCCGTATTTAAATTTTCAAGATGTGTCCATCGCATTAGGTGATGTTGAAAAGGCTGCCCTGTGGAAACACTGGAGGCATCTGGTGCTGTTCCAGACACATCCATGTTGGAATCTGGGGTAATTCACACCAAGGAAACCCAGGGTCTCATGACTTCACGTAGCAAAATCGAGGACTCCTGGCTTCCTGCCTTACACTATTAGAACCAAACTTTCCTCCCCCCACCGCTCTTCCACATGTACCCTCATCGCACACCCTGCATCTGTGTCTCCTTCTGCTGCGTTGGACTTTTGAAGTCCTCCCTGCACAGCACTCTGGACCCAGCCCCTGCAGCAACTTCACCACACTGATGACAGGAAGAGGTGTGCATGGAGGCAGGCCCCTGTTAGAGAAGGGGTGGGCATGTGATTCCTGAGGGCTGACAATGAAGAGGAAGGGAGGCAGGGTCCTGGGCTGAGGAGGAGCTCCCCGTGGAGGAAAGCACTCTCAGCTTTGGGGCCATCCAGGTGTCCAGTGGCTCAGGGAGGAGCCAGTCATTGACAAGGTCTGTGGAGGGCAGAGAAGGGGAGGAGAGCATGAAGCTATGAGTGATGGTGGGTTTGGGGTGGCTTCCCCACCTTAAGTCAAGGATGAATGCTCTAACTAGCCAGCCAGATTTGAGCCCAGGGGAACTCACACCAGTCAAGAAAAGAATAAAAGTGTTAGAGGTCAGCAGAGAGGGCGTGGAGCTCCCCTCTGAGCTGATTCAAATATGATCTTCTTAAAAACAGAACAAAAATGAGCATATCAAGTGGTTGCTTACAGATGAAGAAAGCACTGTCACTTACAATATTTAGGCCATGAATTATTTATGTGCACTGGCTTCACGCTCTCATTATTTCTGGTTTTAGCGCCAGTGAGGAGACCTTGTCAGCCATCCTCGGTGGGAAAAGGAAGAGCCTGTTCATCCTTTGTGAGGGGGGACCAGGTGTTTCCCATTTGTTCCTTTGATATAAAAGAATGAGTTACTAATGGAGCGAAGAGCTTGCTCAGCCCAATGCAAATGAGGAGATAAATAGACTTTTCAATCTATTAATTGCAAAGTATTGGTTGTCGTTCTGCCTTTCTTGGGGGTAGGAGGAGGGCATTGAATATATTTATTAAATGTGAAATTACCATAATTATATCCAGTGAAACCCTCACAGTGTTGATGCTGAGGAACGTAACTAACAACCTTCTCCTAAGCTCTCCT